AACGTACATGTAAAAAAATATGCGCAAAAGTACATTCGCGACAACGTTCTGAAAAACACGAAATACAACACTAGGACTTTAATACGCATAACCAAACAATAGCAAAAACACTAAATACAAAAGATACAGTGGAGTGTAGAAATAACACTCAACGTTTACGTTTATGTGGATTTTTTTATTGATTAATTTATATTTTTGTATTAATTGGTGGATTTAGTATCTTCTTATAGGTACAAATTGATAATTAGGTGTCCGTGAAGCCAAAATGATCAAAGAGTACGAAAAGAGTTGCGCAATTAGGAAAATAAAATCAAATTAGAAGAGAGGATCCCTCAACATCTTCGGTAGTGTCCACGAAGTCGAGCATAACTTTCTCATCCGGACTCCAAATCAACTTGTTCCGGCGGCATTAGAAAGCTATTTTAGCTGGCTACAATTCCTGTCTAATGTCAAATTTCCAAATTCGGACTCGAACATGGTCAAAATTAGATTCCAAAAGCGATCAAGAAAATACGTGCTACAGTACGAGAACACAAATGCGCATCAAGAAACGTGCACAAAAACACACGCTACAAAATATACGCACACAAGTAAAAGTACAAAAGCATGCACAAAAGTACTCACGCAAAAGTACATTCGCAAAAAGGATCACGAAAACACAAACTACAATCCTAGGACATTAATACAAATCAACAAACATGCACAAACACACTCGCTCAAATGGACATGCACAAACGTACATGTAAAAAAATATGAGCAAAAGTGCATTCGCAACAACGTTCTTAAAAACAAGAAATACAACACTAGGACTTTAATACGCATAACCAAACAATAGCAAAAACACTAAATACAAAAGATACAGTGGAGTGTAGAAATAACACTTAACGTTTACGTTTACGTGGAGTTTTTTATGGATTAATTTATATTTTTGTTTTAATTGGTGGATTTAGTATCTTCTTATAGGTACAAATTGATAATTAGGTGTCCATGAAGCAAAAATGATCAAAGAGTACGAAAAGAGTTGCAATTAGGAAAATAAAATCAAATTAGAAGAGAGGATACCTCAACATCTTCGGTAGTGTCCACGAAGTCGAGCATAACTTTCTCATCCGGACTCCAAATCAACTGGTTCCGGCGGCATTAGAAACCTATTTTAGCTGGCTACAATTCCTATCTAATATCAAATTTCCAAATTCGGACTCGAACATGGTCAAAATTGGATGCAAAAAGTGATCATGAAAATACGTGCTACAGTTCGAGGACACGAATGTGCATCAAAAAACGCGCACTAAAACACTCGCTACAAAAGATACGCCCGTAAGTAAAAGTACAAAAGCATGCACAGAAGTACTCACGCAAAAGTGCATTCGCAAAAAGGATCACGAAAACACAAACTACAATCCTATGACATTAATACAAATCAACAAACATGCACAAACACACTCGCTCAAATGGACATGCACAAACGTACATGTAAAAAAATATGCGCAAAAGTACATTCGCAACAACGTTCTTAAAAACACGTAATACAACACTAGGACTTTAATACGCATAACCAAACAATAGCAAAAACACTAAATACAAAAGATACAGTGGAGTGTAGAAATAACACTCAACGTTTACGTTTATGTGGATTTTTTTATTGATTAATATATATTTTTGTATTAATTGGTGGATTTAGTATCTTATATGTACAAATTGATAATTAGGTGTCCATGAAGCAAAAATGATCAAAGAGTACGAAAAGAGTTACAATTAGGAAAATAAAATCAAATTAGAAGAGAGGATCCCTCAACATCTTCGGTAGTGTCCACGAAGTCGAGCATAACTTTCTCATCCGGACTCCAAATCAACTTGTTCCGGCGGCATTAGAAAGCTATTTTAGCTGGCTACAATTCCTGTCTAATGTCAAATTTCCAAATTCGGACTCGAACATGGTCAAAATTGGATGCAAAAAGTGATCATGAAAATACGTGCTACAGTTCGAGGACACGAATGTGCATAAAAAAATCCGCACTAAAACACTCGCTACAAAAGATACGCACGTAAGTAAAAGTACAAAAGCATGCACAGAAGTACTCACGCAAAAGTGCATTCGCAAAAAGGATCACGAAAACACAAACTACAATCCTATGACATTAATACAAATCAACAAACATGCACAAACACACTCGCTCAAAGGGACATGCACAAACGTACATGTAAAAAAATATGCGCAACAGTACATTCGCAACAACGTTCTTAAAAACACGAAATACAACACTAGGACTTTAATACGCATAACCAAACAATAGCAAAAACACTAAATACAAAAGATACAGTGGAGTGTAGAAATAACACTCAACGTTTACGTTTATGTGGATTTTTTTATTGATTAATATATATTTTTGTATTAATTGGTGGATTTAGTATCTTATATGTACAAATTGATAATTAGGTGTCCATGAAGCAAAAATGATCAAAGAGTACGAAAAGAGTTACAATTAGGAAAATAAAATCAAATTAGAAGAGAGGATCCCTCAACATCTTCGGTAGTGTCCACGAAGTCGAGCATACACTACTAGAAAATTAGCCTTTAATGACGCCTTAACGGCACCTTATTATGACTGGCTTTAAAATGGGCCACAATAGGTATTCTATTGAGACGCCTCTACGGATACCTGTTTCTTTTTTATTATTTTATTTTATAAAAATATATTTAATGACGCTTTTGAATAAATCGTCATAATATATTATTTCTATTGAGAAAAAAATTTAATACCCGCTCATACGCGTAAAAAATAAATAAATTCTAAAGTTAACCTATTAACATATCTTTAAATTTAACAATCCCCAAACAAAATTTCCACCCTATTCTTCTGCCCTTTCCCCTCTTCTCATCTGCAGTCCCCAATTTTATCTTCAATTTTGGTTTTTCTCCAACAAATTGCAGACTCCAATACCCCGTCAAAGAAGAAGATTATTTTCATATTTGGGCAACGACATGTTCGTTCGTGGAGATTTCATCGAGATAGATTGAACACTCAACACTGTATCTTATTTCGGATACGGATCGAAGAATCCTATTTTTTTTATTCGATTTCATGGAGATAGGTTAGTAATTCTGTTTTTCCTCTTATAGTTTATCCCTAATTTTAGTTGAATTTGTTATGACGCAGTAAATCTGAGTGCGCCATGACGAAGAAGCTCGATAGTCATTACCCCGCCGTAAGTTATTTTTTTCTCTCCTATTTGTTTTTTACCTTATTTGACTTTCCTTCTGTTGTTGCTCTTTTTTTTATCATTGGGTTTGAATTGTGCTCGAATTAAAAAGCTGAAAATTCAATATGTGCAACTTGTTTGTTTGGGGTTAATGATTTTATTGATGATAATATTTCTAGTTTATAGTTGATTTTAAATTTTATAGATTTGCTGAGATGCATAGAGTATCTATTGTATTTTACTATTTATTTAATTGCTTCTTGTATTTAATTTAGTTTATATAATATATTTTTCACATTTGCTAATGATCTAGTAAATGAACTAAAGCTTAAGATAATGAATTTGTAAGTTTGAGTGCTTCGTTCTGATTGTGATTGTTGTTTGTGCAAATTTAATGGTTTTGTTTTTAATAGTCACATATGTTTTTTTGAGAAAATTAGGTGTATCTTATTTGTAAGTATACATTCTAGTTTTGTTGGCAGCATATGGAACTTGAGGGGCTCACATGTATTCTATATAGTTTTACTTTTATGTTTCTCTATAAGATTTGATTACTGTACCAATTGACCATATGCACATAACCTGCATAACAAAATATTCATAAATGTATCTTATGAAGAACAACTTTCCGTGAGTACTTAAGGTTAATGTATTTTCCGTGTTTGCTTTTTTATCTGTTTATACAGGAACAACTTTTAATAGACGAAATCAAAGAGGTGAATCGGAAGGTTCTCTTTTGATGTGGGAAAGACGTGATTTCTTGTTTCAGGGAAACTTCACTCATTTTGATGATAAAGCAAACTTTGTTCAGCAAGAGAATGCAGAAATGCAACTTGTTGTCGAATTAATGGTATGAATTGAAGTTTATCTTCTCTTATAATTATAATCGATGTTCAATTATCTCCCAAGAACTTATTTATAATATGACTATTCATTTTTCCTTGATTTATTTTATTCTTTTAATAGGTCATCACAAAAGAAGGATTTTGATGGCAAGAGATTTGAATTGTCAAGATTGAGCTTCCAAGGTCTGATGCATGCTATTCTTGCATAACATTGATGTTCCGGGTTACTTTGTAATATTTAGAATGCTATTGATTTTTGACCTCTAAAATGTTTTGAGGTGTGAATAGAGTAAAGATGCTATTCTGTACTCTACTGTCGATGTGTTTTAGGCAAATCAACAAATAAAATTGTTATTCAGCTATATTCAGTCATTAATATTCTTTCATAATAGATAATGGTTTTTTATTGAATTGCTTTACGGATAATTGATTGTCCTGGTATAGTAGGCAAGTGAAGAACCAAAATAGTCTGATAGCATTTATCCACGCATTTGTGACGTTTTTATTTGTCACAAGAATGTCTGTTGCGACGGTTTAAACTGTCACATATATAGGCTGTTAAAGTTGTTGGAAAGAATTAATGTGACACCACTAGGCGTCACAAAAGTCCCTTTTGGAGACGAGCGAGGGCGTCTTTAAAGAAATGTTTTTGTGACGTCACCAAAGCGTCACAATAACCTATTACCACGGCCACCTATGTGACGCTTTGTCTAGGCGTCACAATATCAAAAGCGTCACGATAGCCGCTTTTGGTGACGGTTTACGGCGTCCCGATAGATGGTTTTTCTAGTAGTGATAACTTTCTCATCCGGACTCCAAATCAACTTGTTCCGGCGGCATTATAAAGCTATTTTAGCTGGCTACGATTCCTGTCTAATGTCAAATTTCCAAATTCGGACTCGAACATGGTCAAAATTAGATTCCAAAAGCGATCATGAAAATACGTGCTACAGTACAAGAACACGAATGCGCATCAAGAAACGTGCACAAAAACACACGCTACAAAATATACGCACACAAGTAAAAGTACAAAAGCATGCACAAAAGTACTCACGCAAAAGTACATTCGCAAAAAGGATCACGAAAACACAAACTACAATCCTAGGATATTAATACAAATCAACAAACATGCACAAACACACTCGCTCAAATGGACATGCACAAACGTACATGTAAAAAAATATGAGAAAAAGTGCATTCGCAACAACGTTCTTAAAAACAAGAAATACAACACTAGGACTTTAATACGCATAACCAAACAATAGCATACAAAAGATACAGTGGAGTGTAGAAATAACACTTAACGTTTACGTTTACGTGGAGTTTTTTATGGATTAATTTATATTTTTGTTTTAATTGGTGGATTTAGTATCTTCTTATTGGTGCAAATTGATAATTAGGTGTCCATGAAGCAAAAATGATCAAAGAGTACGAAAAGAGTTGCAATTAGGAAAATAAAATAAAATTAGAAGAGAGGATCCCTCAACATCTTCGGTAGTGTCCACGAAGTCGAGCATAACTTTCTCATCCGGACTCCAAATCAACTAGTTCCGGCGGCATTAGAAACCTATTTTAGCTGGCTACAATTCCTATCTAATATCAAATTTCCAAATTCGGACTCGAACATGGTCAAAATTGGATGCAAAAAGTGATCATGAAAATACGTGCTACAGTTCGAGGACACGAATGCGCATCAAAAAACGCGCACTAAAACACTCGCTACAAAAGATACGCACGTAAGTAAAAGTACAAAAGCATGCACAGAAGTACTCACGCAAAAGTGCATTCGCAAAAAGGATCACGAAAACACAAACTACAATCCTATGACATTAATACAAATCAACAAACATGCACAAACACACTCGCTCAAATGGACATGCACAAACGTACATGTAAAAAAATATGCGCAAAAGTACATTCGCAACAACGTTCTTAAAAACACGAAATACAACACTAGGACTTTAATACGCATAACCAAACAATAGCAAACACACTAAATACAAAAGATACAGTGGAGTGTAGAAATAACACTCAACGTTTACGTTTATGTGGATTTTTTTATTGATTAATATATATTTTTGTATTAATTGGTGGATTTAGTATCTTATATGTACAAATTGATAATTAGGTGTCCATGAAGCAAAAATGATCAAAGAGTACGAAAAGAGTTACAATTAGGAAAATAAAATCAAATTAGAAGAGAGGATCCCTCAACATCTTCGGTAGTGTCCACGAAGTCGAGCATAACTTTCTCATCCGGACTCCAAATCAACTTGTTCCGGCGGCATTAGAAAGCTATTTTAGCTTGCTAGAATTCCTGTCTAATGTCAAATTTTCAAATTCGGACTCGAACATGGTCAAAATTAGATTCCAAAAGCGATCATGAAAATACGTGCTACAGTACGAGAACACAAATGCGCATCAAGAAACGTGCACAAAAACACACGCTACAAAATATACGCACACAAGTAAAAGTACAAAAGCATGCACAAAAGTACTCACGCAAAAGTACATTCGCAAAAAGGATCACGAAAACACAAACTACAATCCTAGGACATTAATACAAATCAACAAACATGCACAAACACACTCGCTCAAATGGACATGCACAAACGTACATGTAAAAAAATATGAGCAAAAGTGCATTCGCAACAACGTTCTTAAAAACAAGAAATACAACACTAGGAATTTAATACGCATAACCAAACAATAGCAAAAACACTAAATACAAAAGATACAGTGGAGTGTAGAAATAACACTTAACGTTTACGTTTACGTGGAGTTTTTTATGGATTAATTTATATTTTTGTTTTAATTGGTGGATTTAGTATCTTCTTATAGGTACAAATTGATAATTAGGTGTCCATGAAGCAAAAATGATCAAAGAGTACGAAAAGAGTTGCAATTAGGAAAATAAAATCAAATTAGAAGAGAGGATACCTCAACATCTTCGGTAGTGTCCACGAAGTCGAGCATAACTTTCTCATCCGGACTCCAAATCAACTGGTTCCGGCGGCATTAGAAAGCTATTTTAGCTTGCTACAATTCCTGTCTAATGTCAAATTTCCAAATTCGGACTCGAACATGGTCAAAATTAGATTCCAAAAGCGATCATGAAAATACGTGCTACAGTACGAGAACATGAATGCGCATCAAGAAACGTGCACAAAAACACACGCTACAAAATATACGCACACAAGTAAAAGTACAAAAGCATGCACAAAAGTACTCACGCAAAAGTACATTCGCAAAAAGGATCACGAAAACACAAACTACAATCCTAGGACATTAATACAAATCAACAAACATGCACAAACACACTCGCTCAAATGGACATGCACAAACGTACATGTAAAAAAATATGAGCAAAAGTGCATTCGCAACAACGTTCTTAAAAACAAGAAATACAACACTAGGACTTTAATACGCATAACCAAACAATAGCAAAAACACTAAATACAAAAGATACAGTGGAGTGTAGAAATAACACTTAACGTTTACGTTTACGTGGAGTTTTTTATGGATTAATTTATATTTTTGTTTTAATTGGTGGATTTAGTATCTTCTTATAGGTACAAATTGATAATTAGGTGTCCATGAAGGCAAAATGATCAAAGAGTACGAAAAGAGTTGCGCAATTATGAAAATAAAATCAAATTAGAAGAGAGGATCCCTCAACATCTTCGGTAGTGTCCACGAAGTCGAGCATAACTTTCTCATCCGGACTCCAAATCAACTTGTTCCGGCGGCATTAGAAAGCTATTTTAGCTGGCTACAATTCCTGTCTAATGTCAAATTTCCAAATTCGGACTCGAACATGGTCAAAATTAGATTCCAAAAGCGATCATGAAAATACGTGCCACAGTACGAGAACACGAATGCGCATCAAGAAACGTGCACAAA